AAATTGGAATTTTTTTTCTTAATTAACAATCGTCTAGAATATTGAAAAATATGTTTTTATAAAAAATTCCAACGGGAATAAATTTTCTAAAGTGTTTAGATTATGCAATAATTTTTTTAGATTTTTCAATTAACTTTAAGTACTTGAAAAAAAATTTTTTAAGTGACGTACTCGCTTTCGAGGCCGTGCGCGCAACCTAACAATGGCGCGCGGCGGGCTATTTTCAGCGTTAAATTAAAATTATAAATAATGGAGCTACAGTTCCGGGAGTTGGAACTTTTTTTTACTAAATTTCCTCCTCTTTAAGGATCTTTTTTTCAAATTTCGAAAATATTTATAGTTTACGGACAATAAGCCATAAACGAAACGTTATTTTTTGAAGGTGTTTAATTGTTAATAACTTTTGGAATTTTTTATGTGCTAATTCAATTTTTTAGCACAATGGTCTAGACATTATTCCGAATCGAATGAGCTAAACCACATAATTTTAGCAGTAGTATGTCGAATTAACACCATTTTTAACTTGTCGACTAGACTATTATTTCTTGTGGCTACACAATATTTTTTAACATTTTACCTTTGGAATGTAGATTACGATACAGTTAGTGAATCCCAAGTTAACGTTATAACTAATTCCTATCTATCGTTTTCAAAGAGAAATGATTTCAGAAAAGTACCTACGCATAAATCTTGTAAATATAATTAAACAGCAAGAAGAACGTTGCGCCAATCTGAATATGCAGCATTTAAAAAAAAATTGAACACTAAATCAAAACACATTTTCTTCTCAATTGTGTGATCAGATGAATCTTAATTGTGATAGTGACATAAGCCACGTGTTTCTTAATTTTCGAAAATTGGTTGTTCATTGGAACACAACCAAGACTAACTAATTCAGACTACGAATTGAAGGACACTATCAAATAGACTGAGAAATAGAAGTTTGCTTTTGTTCTTAGATTGAATATTAACATAAATATAAATAGAGTTGTTTATGTCTGAGGCATTTGCGAGATGGAGAAGTTACGGCCTACGCGTCTTGTCTGTTCATAGTGACGTACACGGTAATAGCAATACAAGATCCGCCCTGAGATTTAGAGCCCACGAAACAATTGACGAGATATGAAACTACTTATCTAAGTGGTTTTCCGTTTGAAAACCCGAAAAAATGTTACCTTTTCTTTCCTTTTCTGTCACGAAACAGTCGTATGATGTAATTATTTAATACAATTCATATTTCGACCTCAGTTTTTATCTTTCTACCTCAAAAAAACGTATGGTAGTTTAGTAGTTTGCATTTATCATTATTTTTTTAGAAGTCATAGCGGCCTAACCTTCTCTATATTTGTAAAGTACACTCGTATCGCGATGCGACTGTGCCCGAAATCGAATCACAGGTAGTTACAAGTTTTTCTAAGTTTAGTTTTTCTAATACTTACATAATACAGAGTTATTAGCCACTGCAATTATGAAACAACAAAATCGTGGAATATAATTTAAATTGCCAAACTTATTTAAATTTGCGTAATTAGTGATAGGGCGTATTTTAATCAAGTGCCTGTAGGTAGGTACGAGAAACCTGCTCACTTAAAAAGCGAAATAGTCATATTGTTCCGGCATGACGGGTGAGACAACGTTTACACAATACAATTGAGATTTCGACCTGAGATATGACCTGACCATGACCTGAGAATTTCGGAAACCACTTAATACTAGACGGAACGTCATCTCGTTTAGCCCAGCTGTTCAAATCATTATAGGAGTCTACTATATTATAATTTCAAAGAGCTGCTAAACTTTATTCAAAGTACACCAGGTAACCGGACCTTGCTAGTAAACAAAATAATATGTGCAACAGCTAACCATGATTGTATTGAGCTAATCGTGTCTGAAATACGAAAACTCTATTTAGAAAAAAAATATCTAAATAACGAACATGAAATCTGTTTCGAACTGAACAAAAAATACATCAAACCGAATTCCCATCACCACGTCAAGAGGCTTCACTTAATTAAGTACGGAAGCGGATACAGACTGGCTTTGGTCGACGGCACTTGTCTATTGAAGAGGTTATCTCATTTCTATCTACGTGCGTACATTTACTTACATATTTTATGCCTAACATCAGCTTAAATAAAATCTTATTTTAAGTTAAGTTTCCACATTTACTTTTCTATGAAGTAATATCTTAATACTTTTCAAGTATAAAATGCACTATGCTGTTTGTTTGCATGTGATTATGTGCTCGCGTGTTTTTTTGTGTATTCGTTGACACTTTGTATACCTAATATATAAAATTCTCGTATCACGTGGTGCGTGATTGAACTCCTCCGAAACGGTTAGACCGATTTTCGTGAATTTTAGCGTGCAGATCGGTCAGGGTTGAGAATCGAACAACATCTGTTTTCATCCCCCTAAATGTTAAGGGTGCTCCACCCCTAAATTTTATTTTTTATTTTTTAGACAATTTTTTTTGTTTTATTTTTTTATGATACATACAACCCAAAATTTTCACCCCTCTATAATCAACCCATATTTTTTATTAGATAATTAAAAACTTTAATGTTTTTGGCAAGATTTTTATTTTTATTTTTTCATGAATTAAAATAAGAAATCTAATGTTACTCTCAATTTTTCATCCTTCTATGATCAACCCCTATTTCTTATTTTTTTATTATAAACTTTATTATTTCTTTTGGCAAGATTTTTATTTTTATTTTGTCAAGACTTAAAATAAAAAAAATCATATTACTCTCAATTTTCACTCTTATACGATCAACCCCTATTTTTCCATCCCGAATAAGGTTGAAAAATGGCAATCAAATATTATAATTGTAGTACGATAAATTCTTATTCAGAGCTTATAATTTCAAGCTTCTTTAATTATGATTTTTTTTAAATTCATATAGATCTCCCGCCCTCGCCGGTCGACTACTGATCAACTATCAATCGATCAGTTATCCCCGCCAGGTGTCACCACTCATCCAGCAAACATCACGTAGTGGGGATGAGGAGGAAGCCAGTCTCCTGTCTTACTCACTATACATTTTTCAGCCATGTTTTTTTGGTTTTATTTGTGTATCAATCGTAGCAGTGACTGTTATACCTATTATTTTAATTTTTCTGTGCAACTCTCATGTTAATTTTACTGTCATCGTAAAATTATCATTAATTTCCTGTGCAATAATTATTTATTTACAATTTATTAATCTGACAAAGACAGTTTTAACTCTCAGTTAATTAAGTGATCTCATGTAAATAAGCACGTGTTGTAAGCTCCCGCCAACAACGGCCATTACCGTACCTGTATATATACTTAACATTTTTTGAGAATTGTTTTAAATCAAAACGAAAACGTGTACGTGGTTAATAAATATACCTGTTTTATTATTGTGAAAGGTAAGTCAAATTATAATTTGATTGCCATCTTGCAACCTTATTGCGGATCTTTGCATAGAATAAAAAAAATGAAAATCGGGATGAAAAAATAGGGGTTGATCGTATAAGAGTGAAAATTGAGAGTAACATCAGGTTTTTTATTTTAATTCATGAAAAAATAAAAATAAAAATCTTACCAAAAAAATTAAAGTTTTTAATTATCAAATAAAAAATAAGGGTTGATCGTAGAGGGATGAAAATTTAGGGTTGTATGTATTTTGTATGCTGTATCATAAAAACAAAAAAAATTGTCTAAAAAATAAAAAAATAAATTTAGGGGTGGACCCACCCTTAACATCTAGGGGGATGAAAAATAAATGTTGTTCGATTCTCAACCCTGACCGATCTGCACGCTAAGATTCACGAAAATAGGTCGAGCCGTTTCGGAGGAGTTCAATCACGCACCCCGTGACACGAGAATTTTATATATTAGATTTATGAATCGTCGTGGCCTAAAGAATAAGACGTCCGGTGCATTCGTATCTAGCGATGCACCGGTGTTCGACTCCCGCTAGAAATATTCACGATTGGCTTCCACAGTGAAGGAATAATATCGTGTAGTAATAATCAAACCCGCAAAATTACAATTTGCGTAATTACTGGTGGTAGGACCTCTTGTGATTCCGCACGGGTGCCTGTTTCTGCCGTGAAGCAGTAATGCGTTTCGGTTTGACATTTACGTTGTAAGATGTCTACGAGCTCCAGTAACCACTTAACACCACGTGGGCCGTGTGCTCGTTCACCCAGGTAAGCAATGAAAAACATAATAAAAAATACTGAGGTATTGTTGCTGTGTCAATCAAATCTTTACGATTTGATTCGCATATAAATTCTTCAGTATTTTGATCTAAAGCTCGTACGGAAACGACAATACAAACTAGTTAGTTAAAAATCAAAGCACGTAAATAACATAAAATAACATCCAACACATCGTTTATTCAAAACAGAAGACATATAAACGTGTAATTATTCAGTAAAAATTCACTTAATTTAGTTAAAACGTTTACACCGCAAACATCTGTGTAATTGTGATGAGGCATCGAAACATGATCAAGTTAATGCATTAACTTTTAAAGGGGCAATTAGACGTATTACGTTCGGCTATGGTGGTCGGACAATCAGTATTTACGACGGAAGCCACGGCGAGCGCGTTATAAACGCGACATTGGGAAGCCGCCACTGCCCGCCGATCCTCATTGCCCATTGTTTCAATGGTGCTGCCTTGGACACGCACAGACTATCTATTCAATTTGGACTTGATGTTCATTCCCATTTCAACTGTGGATGTAACGAACGCCACGGAGCCGCGGAAACTAATTTTCGGTGTACAATAAACGCGACGTCCATCTTAATTGAAGACGTTTATTTGTCGTGTTAACGAAATATCTTTAATAGAAGTTCGTGCGAAGGTATCGTGCTGCCCTCTGATAATTACTTTGATACTGATCTACGCTGTTTATCGAGGAGCTCTAATGATTGTCTTTTGCAAGAACAGTGCGAAATCGGAGAATTAATGATAGAATGCCAATTTATTGATCAAGAAAAGTGCGTATCTGTCAAATATGAGTCCGGTTTACACAATACATCAGATTCGTCTCAACAGCGTGGTCCCGGTGAGTTATCTTACTTACTTATATATATAAAAATGAATTGCTGTTCGTTAGTCTCGCTAAAACTCGAGAACGGCTGGATCAATTTGGTTAATTTTGGTCTTGAATTATTTGTGGAAGTCCAGAGAAGGTTTAAAAGGTAGATAAATATGAAAATGCTCGGAATTAAATAAAAATAACAATTTTGGTTTTCCTTAGATCAGTCTCCCGTCGGACGGATTCCTTTTGTTTGTTTTAAGTTTATTTTATACAAAAGCTTAGGTCTTTAATTTATCGATTGAGGCACTACGAAGTCTGCCGGATCAGCTAGTAGGAAATAATAATTTATTTTAGTGGCTTCTACTGTTTAGTTAAAATATTTTAATTTCATTAAAATAAACTTTTTTTAATTACTACTGTACGTATTAGTTGATCAATTGGTCATAATTTTATTAGAGAAGTATTTTAGCATACGCAAATTCGGGCGAGGCATCAATTAAACATCTGGACTATTGAATCGATCGAAGTGAGTTACAAGTGTAACGTGTACACTAAATTGAGTAAACATATAACTCACCGAGTTTGTTTGGTCTTGGCAATGAATAAGGTACGCGAGGGTGTATATTTCAAGTGTAACCTCGAATGGGGATCGAACGGCTACTAATTATTCTGACGTTTAATGACTCGAGCTTTTGCAAATAAAACGGCGACGGTTGTGTTTCGGTCATTCCGCGAATTAATTCGTATGAATGAAAAAAAAAATCCGTTTTAATTACAAATTTATTTAAAACCTTTCATCAGGTATGTATAGGTGAAGTCGTTTTTGAATTTTTGTCTATGTTGGTGAGAAAAATGAAAAAAAAATTATTATACTCTTTCTGTTCAGAATTTTAATTTGTTTTAAATTATATTTTCGATGGATGCATCGTTAGTGATAACCGATTTTAGTTTTGTTAATGAAACATTATTTTTAGGAATTAAATAAGTTTTATCGTTATTAGTTTCTATTTCTCATTTATTAATACGTTTATAATCCGAGTGATGCGAAAATTAATGTCTACGTACAGTCCGAACATGAATATTGTTAAAAAACTTAATATTCATCACATCATTCTTTCACCAATGCTTGTTAAAAGTTCCTATGAAATTAAGTGAAAGTGTGTGTTTTAATCGAAAGCTGGCCAAAAGGTTTTAAGATAAGTATTGAGGCCAATAGATATATTTTTGAATGAGGTTTATATTTTTAAAATTCTATTCTGTTAATGTATAACTTAAACTAACCCAAAGACAACAAAAATGTTACAAATATTAAAATTTTTAATAGAAGTTTTCGAGATATACATATTAATGACAAACCCATAGACACAACGCACTGAATTTCTCGGTGAATCTTCTTACTGGGCCGCGATTCCGATCCGGTAGTAGATTCAACTAAGGTAGTAGATAAAGCTAGGGCCAGTGTTACCAACTCTCTCAGCTTGAGCCCGCGAGCTCACCTTTAAGCCAGTATGTAGCTGTAATAATCCCTTAGGCTACCAGTGAATAGGTAGGAAAGAAAAGACAAATCAAGGTACCCGAACCATGTCAAACACTATTAATCACATATTTGTTGTTGAACCTCAGCCTCGGCCTTGGTCTGAGTACTCGGGTATTACTATCCTTGTTGTCTTTCTGTTTTTAATTTATTATTATTATTTATAGTATTGTTAAATCTCTATTAATATGTTAATGTAATGCATGCTGTGATTGCCTATAATTAGAGTTGCAGTTATCAATTGCTCTATACATGTCAATGTTATTTTATGTCTTACTGTAAACCCTGTCGGTAATCCTTAAATAAATAAATAAATATTTCCAATACACACAAACTAAGCACGAAAGCTGTACATTAGATAAATAAATCGAATGATAAAGGATGAATAGCAATGAAGGGGTTTTCAGTGAGTTCAACTCGCACACAGCACCCGCAGGTCCAACACGTGGGGTGAAGATCCGGCGATTCCACATCAGGATTAAAACGAGCCCTTGCTAATTCAATCAATAATCCATTCGAGCAATACTTAAAGATCTTTGTCACTTGGATTATCACGTCATCAGCATTGTACTTCGCAATATATTCATGATAGGTAAATACATGAATAAACCAACAATTTATTTTTTTATTATTACAAGAACAGAGACAAGTATTTAACAAAACAAACGTTTTTCTAGTTTATTGAGAACTTATTGTTAAATACGTTAAAAAAATTGGTTTGAATTTTTTTTTCTATTACTTATAAGGACCGACGGCCTCATGGCTTAACGGTGCGATTAGGTAGCTCAAGCACCGGTCACCGTCCTCGCCGAACCCGTCGCTTACAACAAAGAGCTCGACGAGTAAATTAACCAATAGACACAGTCCACTGACTTTCTCGCCGGATCTTCTCAGTGATGGCGTTTCCGATCCGGTGGTAGATTCTGCGAAGCACTGCTCTTACTGCGGCCAATGCTAGAAACACTCCCGGCTTGAGCCCCGTGAGCTCACATACACGTCAAGGCGAAGCTGAAATAGCCTCTCAAGGCTATCAGCATAGGTAAAAAAAAATAAAAAAGTGTTCATGGTCATCCTAGAAAATAGCACCATTCACATCGAAGCATGAAAAAGAAATCTCAATTAAAATTGTATAACAATTGGCGGAGGAGGGCACTGGTACAGGGATCAAAGAACGATACCGCCCATTCTCTGGAGAATTCCTAAGTAACCTTTAACCGCTATCCCGGGAAAGATGGATCGGTGTATTTCTAAGCCTATTAAAGCTTATTAACCACACAGCCAAACTCTTTGTGGGTTTTAGAACTTCATTACTCAAAAATAACTAAACGATAACTGAAAAGTGGAGAAAAACTCAACTCTGTACTTAATTGCGATGGCCTCTTGAATATTTTCATTGCTCACACATTGCAACTTCGAACATAGTCTGACTTTATGTTTTAGAGACATCCCACTTAAGTTATATTATCAAAATTCGCAATATATTGTTCACACATTGCAACTGCGAACATCGTCTGAGTTTATTTTTTATAGACACCTAACCTACGTTATACATAGTATCAAAATTTGTAATTCATCGTGGACACATTGCAACTTCGAAGCTAGTCTGAGTTTATTTTTTATAGGCATCCAACTTAATTTATAGTGTCAAAATTTGCAATTTATTGTTCACACTTTGTAACGTCGAACATCGTCTGAGTTTATTTTTTATAGACATGTAACTTAGTTATAGTGTCAAAATTCGAAATTTATCGTTCACACATTGCAACTTCGAACATAATCTGAGTTTATTTTTTATAGACACCTAACCGACGTTATAGTATCAAAATTCGCAAGGTATACAGACCGTACAAAGTACATACAGCAGAATGGAAACGATAACAAAGGTTAATAAAATACTCTACAGACAGCGACTTTAACGAATCAGTCTCATTAAGCCGTTAATTCGCAGTTAATAAACATTGAGTGTCACTCAATGGCTTTGTATGTGTCACTTATAGATGATACACAAATTCATATTAATATAGTGAGGTCATGATTTCAAATGGATGATTTTGTAAAGAATGTGAAATTGCTCTTAAGCGTGACGTTTATTGAAATAATAACGTTTGCCTACACGTCCCCCCCTACTTTTATGAGTCTGAGGTCCAAGCCTGAACTACAATATGTGACAGCTCTATGTTCAATCTGTAAAAGTAATTTCCTTACATATTTACCGCTTTTAAAGTATATAAAGTATTTAATAGCTTACCAAAAAAAAAATATTACACTTTATTTTTTTGCATACTATAATAAAAGTACACGCCAAAATGTACCTACGGCTCAAACATCCGAATTCAATTTGTCTTATTTTATATAATTACTAGCGGTCCGCTCCGGCTCCGCTCGGGTCTTTAACAAAAATTTCAACGATATTTGACGTTATTTTATTTTTTAAATAAAAAAAACACTTATTGCGGCATAACTATAATAGTTAGATATATCCACACTTTTCGTAAATAATAATGTGTTCTACAAAGTCGTAGTACATTATTTTATTCTATAATCAATAGTTTTCGCAGGGCACGCGATGTAAAGAATATTTTAAGTCTTTTTTTTTATACCTTCGGTTACATTATTGAAGTTTTAGTAAGGATCCCTAATTTTTTCAAAAAAGATTGTAGCCTTGGGAATAGTGTAGCTTCCAAACAGTGAAAGAATTTTTCAAATCGGTTCAGTAGTTTCGGAGCCTATTCAATACAAACAAACAAACAAATCTTTCCTCTTTATAATATTAGTATAGATACAATTATAGCTGGATAACGAAAATGTTCGAATTGTCGAAGACTTAATTGCCTTGACTTATTGGACATTTGCCAACAATAAAAAATATCATACCCACTCAAGCCACAACTTGACAATGGCATTTTTATTCACAACTCAAACAAATGTCTCACAGTCCCTACACACAAACAAACATTTTTTTTTTTATTGCTTAGATGGGTGGACGAGCTCACAGCCCACCTGGTGTAAAGTGGTTATTGGAGCGCATGGACATCTACAACGTAAATGCGCCACCCACCTTGAGATATAAGTTCTAAGATCTCAGAATAGTTACAACGGCTGCCCCCCACCCTTCTAACCGAAACGCATTACTGCTTCACGGCAGAAATAGGCAGGGTGGTGGTACCTACCCGCGCGGACTCACAAGAGGTCCTACCACTAGTAAAAAACGCACGAACGCATGAACGCACAATCCCTATAACCTCTAACGCCATGAGGAAAGAAATGTTTAAGAGGAAGTAATTTGTAAATTATATTGTAATTGTTACGTATAAGGACTCCAAAGTCACAGGTCAAGGTGAATTTCGAAATAGAACCAACGGAACGTGACAGTTTTATTTTGGCATCTTCCTTTTAACTCCCCGCGCCTTAAAGGACGATGTTGAATTTTCTCCGGAGCGATTTATAAGGCTATCGCATACGATAAGCCAATAATGGCCCGATTTTTCGA